GGTAGAAATATGCATGTCTTAGACATGTCTTGTTGGTTTCACTGCACCACATCTGAGGGGATAGCAACCAAGCTGTAATTAATTGCTGTTCATTTCGAGAGGTGAATTTTAAGAAATAAATTTATTTTAACATGATAATGCGTAGTATAGGCAATATTGTTGTCTTGGATAAAAAATCATAAGGCACATAACAAACAGTTTGGAATTTATCGGTTCACTTTTCTCGGTACCTTATACACAAGAGGGTTTATCTTCGATTGATTGGGCCAACAATTTTGTAACACCTCGAAATATTGATGTTCGACATAAGAAACTATGTATGGAAATTCCTATCTAGCTGAGCTAAGTCGATATCGGAAGTTGAAGAGAGAAATGATTACCACTATTATACCCCACAACACTATGTGTTGGGGGTTCAATTGGACCCAAAATTATATAACACCTCGAAATATTGATGCCCGACAGTGGAAACTATGTACGGAAATTCCTATCTAGCTGAGCTGAATCGATCTAGCTATGTACGAGTGCAGTTCGGAAACTTCTTAGCCTAGAACAAAAAGCGCGGTATAAACAGAAAAAAGTTTAGTATTTTGGAAACTTCCATCTCTGTTATGAACACATGTTAAATTTTATTTTGATCTGGCAGCTCCTTTATACAGAAAAGAGTGTTCAAAAAAAGACAGATCCGCAATTTTTTACAACGGAAAAATTAGAAATGTGTGCTGTCATTACTCGTAAATATTTACATAACCAGTAAAGAAAGTCTTAAAGTCGGGCGGGGCCGACTTTATGATACCCTACACCACTTTGCTAATTTAGTAGAGCTCCGCATAACAATTAAACTTTTTAATGGGAGAATTCAATCACAGACGCTATGATTATAATTATAATTTAAAGTTCAAAGGACTAAATATCCCGAAGCGTTTATATCTTTTAAATTCGGACTTGTATTGCTCATTTGGTGCACAATTAATTTGAAATCGGATAAAAAATATATATGGGAGCTATATCCAAATCGGAAACGATCTCGATAAAATTTGGCAAAGATATTTCTGAGCTGTATTTGAATATCGTTGTTACGGAGTGTATATTACGGCTGTGGGTAACAAATATAACAAATCGGATGAACAGTATATATGGGAGCTATAGCTATATCTGAACCGATCTTTACCAAATTTGACATACCAGTTTCGGTCGTAAGTGCCAAATTTCATCCCATTTGGTGCACAATAAAAGGTAAATCGGACGAAGTTAAATGTGTGTGCTATATCCAAATGTATTTCTGAGCTGTATTTGATATATTTCCCCAAATATTGTTGTTACAGAGTGCATATTACGGCTGCGGAGGACAAAAATAACAAATCGGATGAACAATATATATGGGAGCTATAGCTATATCTGAGCCGATTTGGCATACTTATTTTTAGGCCTAATTTGGGTGTATATGCAAAATTCCATATTGTTTGGGCTGATATTACACGTTTGGTGCACAATAAAAGGCAAATCGGACGAAGATATATATATGGGAGCTATATCTAAATTTTGACCGATTATCTCCAATTTCAATAGGGTTCGTCCTTGGGCCAAACAAATGATTTCATCTGGATAGGGCAATAAATGCGACCTGTACTTTGTTTACAAAAATACATGGACAGACGGACGGACGGACATGCATAAATCGACTCAGAATGTGATTCTATGCAGATCATCAAAAGGAACTATGGGTCTATCTCGTTTCTTTTTGCCTGTTACAAACAAATGCACAAAGACATAATACCCTGACCACCTTGTGGTGTAGGGTATAAAAAAGGTTTATCGGGACAAGAAATGCATAATGATAAGGTGAAAGTGCTCCTTCATATGCAACAGTAGGCCACGTCCAAAAACAGCAATAGTAACAGATGATTGCAACAAATGATCGACGAATAAAAGTTTGTAAAATTGCTAATATCATGGGTATCTCAAATGATCGAGTCCTACTGTTGATGAGACATGGACCCACCACAATAGTCCAGACACAAAAGAACAATTCAAACAATGGCCTGAAGCTGGAGGAAGTGCCTCAAGGAAGACAAAAACAATTCAATCGGCTGGCGAGGTTATGGCAACGATTTTTAGGGACTTCAAGGTAGGGTCAAACAATAAATACAGAGTACTATTCGAACCCTTTTGGATCAATTAAATGTACAAATTTGAGAAAAAAGTCCTGGCTAACAAAACCAAAAAATCGTTTTTAATCAAGACAACGCATCAGCGCACAAGAGGGTTTTAACAATGGCTAAAATCTACGAATTAAAGTACGATTTGGTTGACCACCAACCTTATTCTCCTGATTTAGTTCCCAGTGACTTTTACTTGTTCCCAAATCTAATTGCAGTTGTAAACCACTATTTTGAAGGCCTTTAGGAAAATAATTTTAATCGAGGGATGGAATTGCTAAAAAAGTGTTGGACTAAGTGCATTGAAGTTTCAGGAGATTATATTGAAAAATAAAAACATTTTTGAAAAAGTAACAATTCTTTTTCATTTATAGGCTAAGAAGTTTCCGAACCGCCCTCATATGTCCGCCTGCCCATGTTAATTTGTAATCACGCTGCAGGTCGCAATAATGGCCCGATCCTCACCAAATTGAAAATAGAGCTGGGGATAGGGTCAGAATAGAAGCATATTGTTTTTGAAGATAATCGCAAAATATGTAGGGACTGAAATGGACAAAAAACAGAACATTTTCCTGATTTTGATGTTGCTCTACAGGCCACAATTATAAATCTATCGACGCGGAGTTTTTTGCATGGAGTTAGAGTAAAGGGCTGGGCTGAAGCTTACCAACTTATAAAGTCATCGGACAATATTTAGCGGGAAAATAAAGTATAACTTTTATGTACAAAAAAAAAAAAAAAAAAAAAAAAAAAGCGCATATATTTGTTAACTCGCCAAATCACAAATACATTAAAAAATTTTTTTATTCGTTTAAATGGACCAAAAAAATAAAATTTTTCTGATTTAGAAGACGCTCTACATGTCACAATTGAAATACAATCGGCACGAAATTGTGCTTGAGAAGAGAGTTAAGAACAGGGAAGAAGTCTAGCATTTTGGGTGACCATTGGATTATATTTAGCTATAAAATGGACCACAACTTTGGTCAAATGCACCCTATCAAAAAGCCTAGGGTAACATCTGGCCAGTGCTGTATGACATAATTTCAAAAAACCAAATCTTCCACAATGGATTTGGACATACAGGGTGATTTCTAGGCCACTCGTCCGACAGCTTTTAAAGTTATTCCAGTTACAGCTCATTATATAATTTACAAGCGTACGAAAGCATTTTGGTTAGAATTTTCTAGAAAAAAGTTATTCGTGATGGAATTCAAGCTGTGATATGGTTTATTTCTTTATATTTGGCTGGAAAACTACAAGCGACTATCGTTAGAGCACTCCACTATTTAAATGTAAATAAATATTTTTTGTCCCGTACCAGCAACATCAGCAGAAATGATTCGAAAAGTAAAGAAGCGACTTGATTGACTTGATCGAAATCGCAATATTCCATTCGGCAAATATTGAAAAATGAGCTCGGGGTAAAGCCATTGGTATTCAAAAAAGTGCAAGAACTTAAACCGCAACAGAAAGAAAATAGATTCAAAAGAGTTAAAGAGTTGCTTCGCTTGGCCGAAAGTGGTGAACTACCCCATTTGTTTTCTACAATAAGAAAACATTCGTTGTCCAGCAGTTTGTGAACAAACAAACAAAAACTTGCCAAAGAGCTCAGCTGAAAATGTGCACCTTTGGTTGGCCACCAGAAATCAAGCACCGGCCATGGTGATGGCGGTGTGGGCCGCCATAGCAACCGATGGTCGCTCTCTGCTCGTATTAATCGATCAGAAAAAATACCGAATATTATCGCGAAAATATTTTGGAGGGTGTATTAAAGCCTTGGGCACGCAAACATTTTGGCCGCAGTCCTTGGACATTCCAACAGGACTCAGCACGCGCCACCCAAGTATGGTTACAAAATGAGTTTCCTCGATTCATTTCCAGCGCACAATGGCCACCAATATCTCCGGGTAACAACACGTTGGACGTGCTTCGCCGGGAATGGGCCAAAATATCGCAGTGCAACATTCGGGCAGCGTGTGACGGTTTCATCGTGCCAAGAGTGACCAATTCGAATAAATCTAAACTTATTCTAAAATTTGATGGTACTTCCGACATTGTTTGCTTTAATTTAATAAAATTAAAAAAAAAATGTAAAAATGATGGCGTTTGACTTTGTTGCAGTTTTTTTCATCTCACCCTGTATATTAACAACACCTTTAAGGGTTAAAGCTGTAGTTTATGCGAGTTAATGCAAAATTCCTCTGCAAACCATCATTAGAAGGATCATATTTCACTGTAAGTGACCAAGGAAACAAAATCTCCGTTTCCATTAAATCAAAAGAAAATATTTGCCTAAAATCGAAAAAAAATGAAGATTAAAAAAATAAAGAATTTTTTTCCGACCTTTTTTGAGTTAACGCATGAAGTAACATAAAATTTCGTTTAAAGCCCAAAGTTTCGACAATAGAAATTTTATACACAAATGTTTGCTTTAAATTTCAGAATAAACTTTATGATTAGATATTATAGTTTTTGGGAAAAAGTTACATTCATAGTTATATATGTCTAGAGAATATTCAAAATATTTTTTAAAAATTCCCTTCGTCCTAGAGAACAAAAGTTTAAATGTCCATGTTTTATTCTTGATCTACCTTTATTATCCTCTTTATCGTAGAGAGAAATTCTTGAGGAATCTACGTTTGGTAAAAAAAAATACTTAAAAAATCTGCTTTTGTCCTTGAGCAAAAATAATCTGTAAAAACCCACACTTATGGCTAATAGTAATACAAATTCCATTTTCTTGACTTGTGCATTATTTTTAAACCTTTGTGGTCTTAATTCACTTAAATCTTTATTAATCATAACTTTTTTTCATACAGCCAATCAATATCAGATTTCTATAAATGAATCGCCTATTAATATCGATCCTTAACCACAAAATGTTGACTATAAAAACTCAGCACCGATTTCAGAATCTTTAGTAAAAATATCATCGTTCTCTTGTTCTGAACTCTATTTCGTAGAAAAAAAAAACAACCCGATTCGAAATGAATTTTCTGCACATTTTCGCTGTGGTAGCCCTGATCTTGGCTTTGGCCACTGGACAAATTGAAGCCAAAGGTCGTGGTGGTGGCAACAAGGGTCACTACATTAGGGGTGGTGTAAGTTAGAGCTGCGATGTGTTTTTTATTGTAAATTTTCTTCATAAAACTGCTTTTCTTTCCTTCGACAGGCTCATGTGGCCGGCAAGGCTGTTGAAGGTCTTGGTGCTGCCGTTGTTGATAAAATTGGATAGATTCCAGGACATCGTTAATCTTATTCTAAATTGTATAAAATCAAGAGAAGACAATAAAAACTTCTTAATATTGTGGTACAATAAATAACAATTAAAAATAAAACCAAGCACTGAAAACTTTTTTTCTCAAGGACCTTCCAGCCGGTAAACTTGGACAAAGAACTGTTTTTAGGTGGGTCCTACGAGCCAATAAATTTTGATTTTTCAAGGTGCTTCAAGTTAATTAACGTGGATTTTTAAAGAGGTTTTTAAGGATATACAGGCCAATAAACGAGGATTTTAAAATAATTTTTTCAAGGACATTAGGTCAATAAAGCTGTATTTTTAAAGAATTTTTTCAAGGGCATAACGGCCAATAAACGTTGATTTTTAATGATTTTTTTTAAGGACATACTGGCCAATTAACTTGGATTTTTAAAGAATTTTTGTTAAGGACATAATGGCCAATAAACTTGGATTTACGAATGTTTTTTAGGACTAACAGTCTAATAAGCCTGGATTTTGAAATATTTTTTTTTCTAGGACATACAGGTTAATTAAACTGGATTTTGAGTTTTTTTCAAGGACTTACAGGCTAATAAACCTGGATTTTTGAAATATATTTTTTTTCAAGGACATAAACGTTGATTTAAGATTTGGTTCAAGGACATAACGGTCAATAAACTTGTACTTAAGCTTTTTTTGTTTTTCAACGGCATACCGGCTAAAGATTTTTAATAAAGGACCTACAGGCCAATCAATGTAGATTATTAAAGAATTTTTTACAAAGGATATACAGGCCAATGAATGTGTATTATAAAGAATTTTTATAGAAGACATTCACGGATTTTTAATGATTAGAAATATGGAAAGGGCTTACAGGCCAATAAACTTGAATTTAAAAAAAAAAAAAAATTGTAAAGGACTTGAAGGCCAATAAAAGTTTATTCTAAAGATTATTTATCGAGGACCTACTGGCCAATAAAGTGGATTTTTAAAGAAATGTTTTTAATAAGGACGTCCTGAATGTGAATTGTTAAAGAATTTTTCTCAAGAACAAAACCATGGTTTTAATAATTTTTTTTCTAAATGACCTTCTAGCCAGTAAACGTTGATTTGTAAGGAACTGTTTTAACTGATCTACAGGCCGATATAAATTTTATACACAAATGTTTGCTTTAAATCTCAGAAAATATTTTTTAACAAAATATTTTTTAACAAGTAAGCAAAGACTACAGTCGAGCGGGGCCGACCGTTGAATACCCTACAACACTATAATAAACCATACGGTTTATATAGGCGAAATACTCGACAGAATTCCACAAGATATTGTGACAAATAATTAAAGAAAACCATCAGGTTTCGTTCTCTAATTTGCGAAAAATAACAACTTAAACTAATTTGCTCATTTCCAATTTTGTTGGTCTTTCTAGATCTGGAACCAATATTTCCCAAAGACCTATAATCTCTCAAAAGACAAAAGATTAACATTTATTATTGGTTTTTGACCGAAACGCATCTATATGAGATACAGACATTTGACTATATTCTTCAACGAAATAGTCAGAAGTGCGTCTTTCCTGCATTTGTGAATTCTCCAAAAAGTCTCTGGAATGGACATTTTCGTATTTTGTCTACAAAAGTTGGCAAACTATTTCACACATTGAATATTTTTGGATGGCCACTGCTTGGCTTTTGCAATGTGCGGTAACCCCCATTCAAATGTGCGTGAGGATTACGACCTGCCGATAATATTGCAGTTTTTTGGTCCATTTCAACCCCTAAATATATGGCGATCATCTCCAAAAAGAGTAGGCTTCTATTCTGACCCTCATCTTATCCCCATGCAAAATTTCGTAAGGATCGGGCCATAAATGCGATCTGATATCCTGATATCCCAACTACTTAGTTTTGTTAGCTGTAGAAATATTAACAAATGTTTAATTCAAAATGAAAATATGACAAAATTGAAAAAAATATGAGAAAATTTTACAAAATCAATATTTTCATCTTTAGAGAGATATTTTTATGCGATTTTTTTAGACGTTTTTTCTTTCCTGCCAAGAGGCCATTCTGAATTGTCGAAATCAGTTCAGCCGTTCTCGACATATAAGAGATCTTTCAAGCATCTCTTCTTTGATAGACATATATATCGCACATATTTTGCTATATATCCGATTTGATGGATGTTAATATCAATGTAAAGGTCAGAAGTAACCTTGTGATTTCTTTGTGATTTTGCCGGGATTTAAAATATTCACGGTTTAATGAAAAATTTTGAACACAAAAGATATGGTCTATTTTACCCGCTAAATATTATCCGATCCCAAATTGGTAGGCTTCTTCCCCTCCCTAAACTCCAGCTACATGCGAAATTCCGCGTCGATTGGTCTATAATTGCGATCTGTATAGCTACTGCAAAATCCGAAATTTTTTCAGTATGCTGTCCATTTCAACCCCTAAACATTTGGCGATCATCTCCAAAAGCAATGGGGTTCTATTCAGGTCCAAGCCCCACCTACATTCTAAATTTCGTGAAGATCGGACCATAAACGGACGGACGCACATACATAGCTAGATCGACTCAGCTCGGTGAGCTAGGAAGATCCATATATACTTTCCTATGTGGGAAACCAATATAACGAGGTGTTACATAATTTTTGTCCCAATCAAACTTATAATACCCCCAACACATAGTGATGTAGGTTATAAAAATCCCCTTCGTCCTAGAGAACAAAAATTTAAATGTCCATGTTTTATTCTTGATCTACTTTTATTATCCTCCTTATCGTAGAGAGAAATTCTTAAGGAATCTACGTTTGGTAAAAAAATACTTAAAAAATCTGCTTTTGTCCTTGAGCAAAAATAATCTTTAAAAACCCACACTTATGGCTAATAGTAATACAAATTCCATTTTCTTGAATTGTGCATTATTTTTAAACCTTTGTGGTCTTGATTCACTTACATCTTTATTAATCATAACTTTTTTTCATACAGCTAATCAATATCAGATTTCTATAAATGAATCGCCTATTAATATCGATCCTTAACCACAAAATGTTGACTATAAAAACTCAGCACCGATTTCAGAATCTTTAGTAATAACTTCGTCGTTCTCTTGTTCTGAACTCTATTTCGAAGAAAAAAAAGACAATTCAAAATGAATTTTCTACACATTTTCGCTGTGGTAGCCATGATCTTGGCTTTGGCCACTGGACAAATTGAAGCCAAAGGTCGTGGTGGTGGCAACAAGGGTCACTACATTAGGGGTGGTGTAAGTTAGAGCTGCAATGTGTTTTTTATTGTAAATTTTCTTCATAAAACTGCTTTTCTTTCCTTCGACAGGCTCATGTGGCCGGCAAGGCTGTTGAAGGTCTTGGTGCTGCCGTTGTTGATAAAATTGGATAGATTCATCATCGATTCAGCATCGTTAATCTTATACTAAATTGTATAAAATCAAAAGAAGACAATAAATACTTCTTAATATTGAGGTAAAATAAATAACAATTAAAAAACAAATTCAAGGACTGAAGAATTTTTATGAAGCACCTAAATTCAGGAACTCCAGGCAAAAATGTGATTTTTTACAGAATTTTTCTTAAGGACATAAACTTGTTTTTTTCTCAGGATCTTCCAGCCGGTAAATGTGGATAAAGAACTGTTTTAAGTTATCAAATGGGATCTACAAGCCAATAAATCTTGATTTATCAAGGGCCTTCAGGTTAATTAGGATCAGGATTTTTAAAAAGTTTTTTTTTTATCAAGGATCTACAGGCCAATTATTTATGGAATTTTCAAGAGTTTCTTTATCAAGGATCTACAGATCAATTACCATGGATTTTTAAAGTTTTTTTTATCGGGGATCTACAGGCTAATTAACGTGGAATTTTCAAGAGTTTCTTTATCAAGGATCTACAGGTCAATTACCGTGGATTTTTAAAGAATTTTTTCAAGGACATAAAGTGAAAAAACGCGCATTTACGAATGCTTTTCAAGGGCATACCGGCTAATACACCTGAAATTTGAAATATTTTTTTTGCAAGGACATACCTGCTTGTAAACGTTGATTTGACTTTTTTGTTTTTCAACGACGTACCGGCTAAAGATGTTCTATAAAGGATTTCAAGTTCATTTTGAAGAATTTTTTTTATCAAGGACCTACAGCCAGTAAAGTAAATTTTTAAAGAAATGTGTTTAATAAGGAACACAAGGACAATATGTAATGTGGTTTTTATCAATTTTTTTCTAGCCAGTAAACGTAGATTTTTAAAGAACTACTAATGTAGGGCCTACAGGCCAATAAACGTGAATATTTTATGAATGTTTTATGAAGGACATACAGTCCAATAAATTTTGATTTTCAAGGATTTTTTATCAAGGACCTACTGGCCACTTAACGTGGATTTATAAATTTTTTTAGGGATATACAGGTGAATGTTGTTCTGCGGTATTTTAGCTCATTCCAACCGATTGGAATCCGGAGATTTTGGTGGCCATTGTGCGCTGAAAATGAAGCCAGGAACCTTATCTTGTGCGATGGTGCCGTTGGAATGTCCAAGGTCTGCGGCCAAAATCTTTGCGTTCCCAATGCTTTAATATAGCCTTCAGAATATTTTCGAGATAATATTTGGCATTTATTCTAATGCCACTGTTATGGCGGCCCACACCATCAACATGGGCGTCGCTTGAGTTCTGGTGACCAACCGAAGGTGCACATTTTCAACTGACCTCTTTGGCAAGTAAAAACGATCATTTTGTTTGTTTACAAACAGCTGGACAAGGAATGATTTCTCATCGGATAAACCCCAATTCGGCAGTTCACCACTTTCGGCCAAGCGAAGCAATCCTTTAGCTGTTTTGAATATAGAATAGTGTTGGCTTGTTTGTTCGGGATACTGTAGTATTTTGTTGTTGCAAAATGGTCAGGCTTTATCCCTTTATTGTTGTTTTTATAAAAACAACGTTTGTTTATTAGTGGAGAACGATGGTAAAGTTTACCAGGGGGTAATAAAGCCTGACCATTTTGCAACAACAAAATACTACGGTATCCCGAACAAACAAGCCAACACTGTTCTATTAATAGACAAGGCACGGTCGACGAAGGGTTTTTTTGTTTTAACAGACAAAATCAACTTACATGGTTATGCTACTTCGTTCAGGTTGAACGACAGCATAACAAGTGGAGAAAGATGTAAATGTTTATAAGTGCGGTTGTAAGATTTAGAAGACTTTCCAAAAGAATTTTAGTTTTATTTAATTCTTTGGTTCCTCTTCTATTGAGCTTACGATCTTGTCACTTGGGTAAAAAATGTTTTTTGTCATAGAAGTTATTTTAAAAATAACTTCTGGGGAGAATATCCCAGACAAAAAACAAGGGAACTGATGAGGATTGGTGGCTCTTTCCGAAACCTAGGTATTCCCTGCCTTACCCCCTGGTAAACGTTTTGAATATATTTTCTTTCTGTTGCGGTGTAAGTTCTTGCACTCTTTAGAATTTATGGCCTTACCTCGAGCTTATTTTTCACTATTTGCCGAATGAAATATTGCGATATGTTCAGCTCACGAGCAGTTTTTCGGCCACTGCGACGCGGGTTTCGATCAAGTCGCTTCTTTACTTTTCGTACCATTTCTGCTGATGTTGCTGGTTTCTTCCGTCCACTTCCTTGACGTCGGGTTGTACTACCAGTATCGCGGTAACGAGAGATGGTACGAAACACAAAAGATTTATTCACATTTAAATGCTGGAGTGCTCTAACGATAGCCACTTGTGGGTTTCCAGCCAAATGTTAAAAAAATCACACTATCACAACTGAATTCCATCACGAAAAACTTTTTTTCTGGAAAATTCTCACCAAAATGCTTTTGTACGCTTGTAAACAATATAATGAGCTGTCACTGGAATAATTTTAACAGCTGTCGGCCGAGTATTTTAGAAATGACAGCAGTCTGAAGTTGGTTGCAGTTTTTCATCACACTGTGTTGATTGGCCTGTAGGTTCTTCACAGGACCTACAGGACCATCAACATAAGTTTTTTAAGAATTGTTTTATGAAGAACCTACTGGCCATTAAACGTGGATTTTTAAAAGATTTTTTTTCAAGGATATACATGCTAATAATCGTGTATTTGAAAAAAAAAAAAAAATATCGAGTACCTATAGGCCAAAAAACCTAGATGGTTAAATACTTTTTTATAAAGGACATACAGGTAAATAAACTAGCTTTTTTTTTTAAAAATTTGGTTTTTTTTTTTAAGAAAATTTGAATTCCAAAGAATCTTAATTCGCCAAATTTAAAAAAAATTAGAAGAGTGGGTAAGTTATGCTCCTACTATTTAGTTTAATTTTCGTTATAGGTGTCCTCCATATTTAGTCTACATTCTTTATCTACCAGAGTTATTGAAAATTTGGAATTTTATCGCACAATGTTGTTAGACTTCTTATTTTTGTGTTATACACGTCATCGATAATTTTTAAATTCAGTCTGTAAGTTAGTGATATGCTCCCCTGCGGAGAAAAATGATTTCACAAAAAAAAAAAAAAAAAAAAAAAAACATCTACATATATTAAGAAACCTATACCATCAACTAATCCACCTGTGCTTTGCAAAACTAAATAAACAAAGTCGATTTGTTTACTAATACACAAATATAAAACGAAGAAGATTTGAGAAAAAATTATTCAATCAAGTTTCTACTCTCGTCAAGAACAGATATAGAATTTTCTTCTTCGATAATGATGTTGTTTAGGTGCTGCCTTACTTTTTTATTCATTGTGATTTTGGCCATTTCTTTGCCAAACATTGCTGCAGCCCAGAGACGTAGGCCAGGGCAAGAGAACAGTTCGTAAGTATTTAAAATTCCTTTTTTATTGTTTTTTTCTATTAATAATTATGTTATGATTTTATTACAGCTGGAATTCGTTCTACCCAACCAGGACAATGTTAAGTTTTTACTATTTTAAAATTTATAAAAAAAACTATTTAGCCAATAAAATGTGTGTCAAGAACAAAATAAACTTCATCATTGGTCTTTGCATTTCACATTAAATAAACTGGGCAAAAAATGTATTCCCTCAACCTTTGTTACATAACATTGTATGGTCTTTGCATTTGGTTTAATTTTGGTAATTCATTTGGGAACTTTGGAGTATAAAGGATAATTTTGTTTGGACGAAATCAAGGACTGAATTCGCCTTTCATGCAAAGAAACCGCCTATGAGAGTTATGATTATTGAATATAAAATCATTTCTTGGCGAGCTACTAAAAATACTCGATTTATATTGTCCTGGCCATAATACACATTTTGCGAAGTGTAAAGTTTGGATGGCAAATAAAAATTTAAAATTTAAAAATTTAGTAAAAAATGTGGATTTGAAGAAAATATGTGCAATAATTTAGATTTTATAAGAATTATAATTATTCCAAAGTCTAACCCTTTGTGAAGAGTTGGGTTTCAGACTCTGTGTAAGTCAAAAGAGTAAAGTGAGTCAAAATAAAACTAATTCGACGCCTGACTTAGGCAGTTATAGGTTTTTCAAGTTTTCCCATTGTTTTGGCTACATGTAAATCTTCTTGCTGGAAGCATCATCTTTGGAGATAAATGAGGAGTAGAAATTGACAATTAAATTTTCTTTTAAAACATATTGACCCAATGTTAATCGACTATAATGAAACAACAAGAAAGCAAAGGCTAAAGTTGTGCGGGGCCGACCATGTGATACCCTACAACACTTATGTTCCCACTTATGTTCCCTTATGTTCCAATGCATTTGGAAGATTTCGCTTTTGAAATTATGTCATAGAGCACTGCCCTTAGCTTTTTGGCCAGTTTTTGACTTCTAGTTGTTTTGGTCCATTTTACGGCTAAATATAATCCAATGGTCGTTCAAAATGCTAGACTTCTTCCCTGTCCTTAACTTTCTTCTCATGCAAAATTCCGTGTCTATTGGTTTCAATTGTGTGATCAGGAACAATTTTCTGTTTCTTTGGTTCATTTGAACCCTTTAACATTTTGCGATGCATCTCCAAATTTAGATTTATATATTTGCTTGTCTACGATATATTCGTCAACGAAATCACCATAAAAATCAAAAAGTTCGCCATTTGGGTATTTTGCATATAATGTAATGTATTTTCAGCGTTTCGGTAGAATGGAAATGTTGGTATTTTTTTCACACAAAAGTAGTAGTCCTTTGATTTCTATTTGTGACCCTTAGTTCAAGAACATTTTAGTTGTTGGTCCATTTCAACCCTTATCACATCATTAGAAACTGTCATAATTGACCTTTTCGTCCATATGTGATTTCGTCGGAATTAAAAATATTTTAATGGAATATTTTATTTAACACAAATGTTATGGCCTATTTCACCCACTAAATACTACCCGATGTCCATCCAAATTGGAAGGCTTCTGTCCAGCTCCAAACTCTAGCCCCATGCTAACTTCCGCGTCGATTGGTCTATATTTACGAATTAAATATTATGTGATCATCTCCAAAAATAATAGGCTTCTATTCTAACCGTAACCCCACCTCCATGCAAAATTTCGAACGATTGGAAGATTTATACATACTTTCCTAAACCAATATTTTGAGGTGTTACATAATTTTTTTATAATGCCCTCAACACATAGTGTTGTAGCAATACACTTGAATATTTAGAAATGAGTCTACATTCGGGCATTGTTGTTTATTTATATGTAAACTACTCAGAACTCCGAAATACTCGTTCGAATTCAAGTATAGAGAGAAACTCGCTCGACGCCAAACGGCAGCGATTGAGATGAAATTTTCCAAACAAAATTTGTTTGACCTCGTCCTTGGGCCTTATTCAAATTGGTGAGAATCGGTTTAAATTCAGATATAGCTCCCATATATCTTTAACCGATTTCGAATTACTTCTGCGAATATTATTCACTATACTGCAACAAAGTCAGGCACCACAATTTTTACATTTTTTGCAACATTTTATTGAATGAAAGCAGAAAATGTCGAAAATAGCATCAAATTTTAGAATAATTTTAGATTAGTTCGAATTGGGCGCCTGTGGCACGAATAATGGCCTTCAAACGGCCAACGAAACCGTCACACCATTCCCGGCGAAGCGCTATCTTGAAGTGAACGACACTTTGGTATTTTTTAGTGCCAACCTTGCTTTCCAAAAAATTCCATTTCTGTTGATGTTGCTGTTTTCTTCCGTCCACTTCCTTGACGTCGGGCTACGCTACCACAATCACGGTAAAGAGCGATGGTACGAGACACAAAAGATAGCCACTTGTGATTTTCTAGCCAAATATAAAGAAATCACACTATCACGCTCGAATTCCATCACGAATAACCTTTTTTCTGGAAAATCTCTCCAAAATGCTTTTGTACGCTTTCAAACAATATAATGAGCTGTCACTGGAATAATTTTAACAGCTGTCGGACGATGTTGGTTGCAGTTTTTTCATATCACCATGTATATTGTACCTATTTTGACATATATCCGATATCTTGGCTATCAGCAAAACTCTATTGGTCAGCAGTGACTTTTTAGTAAATTTGTGGTTTGGCAGGGCTAATAAATATTCGTAGTTTAGTGGAGATTTTCGTATTTTTTGACATAAGAGTTATAGTTTATTTACCCGTTAAATATTATCCGATGACCATGCAATTTGGTGGGCTTCTCCCAGCCCCAAACACGAAATTCATGCAAAATTCCGTCCATCGGTTCTTAATTGTGGCCTGTAGAGCAACATCAAAATCTGGAAATTTTTCAGTTTTTATGCGAAATATTTTAGTTTTTATACTAAATATATACTGATTTTCTATTCTGGCCCTCGCCCCATTCCATTTCGTGAAGATCGGGCCATAATTGCGACCTGTAAAGTGATTATAAATTAACATGGACAGACGGACAGGTGGGCAGACGGACGGACGGACATACATAGCTATATCGACTCAGTTCGGCGAGATAGGAGAATCCATATATAATTTCCTATGTGGGAACCCAATATTTCGAGGTGTTACATAATTTTTGGTCCAATCAAACTTATAATACCCCCCGCACATAGCGGGTAAAAAAATCAGATCAATCGATATAAAGAAATATTCTTGTCGCACCTTTCCATATAAATTAAGCCACTGTGCGACCGTTTAAATAAATATCCTCTATTTACAAAAAGAAACCGGCTTCTGGCCTCATGTAATCAATAATTGTATGTATTCTGAAGTGATTTTTCAAACCAATGTTTTTTTAACCTTTTTATATGTTGGTTCAAGTTTTTATTCAGAAGCGTGCGCTGTTTGATTTTTAAAGAAAACAACAACAACAAAAAAGCTGAGAATTAAGTGGTTTTACTGAATTCATGGGAGATTTCACAGAGCTTGGACTTCCCCGGTGGAAACGAGATGCTAATTAAAACGTTGTTGTTAGACCACACTTAAATTGGACAAACATCATACACTGGGCGGTATTAGAATAAGGAAAAGCATTTCAAAATTTGTCTGAAATATACATAATTTTTAATACCGAAACTCATGGATTGTTTGTCTAATTGCAAGAAAATCTTAAAATTGTTACAGTATTTGTTTCACGTTTCTTGATAAAAATTAATCCTTCATAGGTTTGCAATGTTTGGACTAAAGAAAATTGGACACTATTTTCACATTTTTTTGAAATTATTATTATTAATTAATGTTTCGATCTTTTGCGGGGGAAGTATGAGAAAGAGTTGATAATTAATTACATTGCCCGCCTTCAAACTTCGAATCTAAATACAGGGCGAGATGAAAAAACTGCAACCAACTTCAGACTGACAGACCGACAGCTGTTAAAATTATTCCAGTGACAGCTCATTATATTGTTTACAAGCGTACAAAAGCATTTTGGTTATTTGTGATGGAATTCAAGGGTGGTAGTGTAATTTCTTTATATTTGGCTGGAAAACCCCAAGTGGCTATCGTTAGAGCACTCCAGCATTTAAATGTGAATAAAGCTTTTGTGTCTCGAACCATCGTTCGTTACCGTGATAATGGTAGCGTAGCCCGACGTCAAGGAATTGGACGGAAGAAAACAGCAACATCAGCAGAAATGGTTCGAGAAGTAAAGAAGCGACTTGATCGAAACCCGCTTCGCAGTGACCGAAAAATGGCTTGTGAGCTGAACATATCGCAATATTCCATTGGGCAAATATTGAAAAATGAGCTCGAGGTAAAGCCATAGAAATTCCAAAAAGTGCAAGAACTTACACTGCAGCAGAAAGAAAATAGAGTCAAAAGTTGTTTTGCTTGGCCAAGGTGATGGTGTGGGCCGCCATAACAGCCGATGGTGGCTCTCCGCTTGTATTAATCGATCGATCAGAATAAATTATCGCGAAAATATTCTGGAGGGTGTATTAAAGCCTTGGGCATGCGAACATTTTGGCCGCAGACCTTGGACATTCCAGCAGGATTCAGCACCATAGCACTCAGCACGCCAAGAATGATTACAAAATGAGGTTCCTCTCTTCATTTTCAGCGCAACCAAAATCTCCGGATACCAATCCGTTGGACTATTGTGTCTAGAGTATTTTGGAAAACATGGTTGACACTAAAAAATATCAAAATGTCGATCACCTCAAGCAAGCGCTTCGCCGGGAATGGGCTACAATACCGTAAAGCAACATTCGGGCGCCGTGTGACGGTTTCATTGGCCGTTTCAAGGCCAAAGGTGACCAATTCGAACAAATCTTCAAAAGCAAGAAGCCCCTCCGTATCTCCGAATTTAGACTCATCTATATGATTTGCTTGTCTACGATATTTGGCTAAATTCGTCAACGAAATCAGCATAAAAAAGCCAGAAGTTCGCCTTTTGTGTATTTCGGATATCGCCTGTAAGTAATGCAGGTATTTTTTTTCACACAAAATTAGTGGTCCATTGTACCCGCTGTCCTAAACTCTATTTGTGACCTTTACAACGGCAGCAAAATCAGGAACATTTTTAGTTGTTGGTCCATTTCAACCCCTAAATATTTTGCGGACATCTTTGAAAACAATAGTCCTAACCCTTCTGAGTCTAACCCTAAACTTATGAAACACATAGTGTTGTAGGGTATAAAAATGCCGAATATCAGAAGGCACAGTTATATGGAGACTATACCAAAATATAGACTTATATTGACAGTTCTCCGCGAGGATGTTTCTCAGATTGTTCCCACTATTCGGGTTAACATTGGCAATTTGCCAATTACAGCAAACATTGCGCAAAAAAAAACCCACAAAATTATAAATCTGTCGGTAAAATTATATGGGGGCTATACCTGACGTGGACCTATATAGCCTATTTTCAATACTAAAAATCCTGCAGACCTTATACACATCTGAGTAAAATGTTATCAACCTACTTTATTTCCTTCGGAGCCTAGAGTGATTTCCATCTACATAGAATTTTATGCCGATCAAGAATATATATACTTTGTGAGATGTAAAATTTATATATTTATATATTTATATATATACCCTCCGTGTTAAAAAAATTGAAAATAAGTCGAGTTTGCCGACTCACATTTTATTTTCGCAACAGTAGCTGAGTGTATGGATGACCAAACTAGCCATCTGAAGAATGCAAGTCAAACCACACAATCGATCAAAATTACTTGTAGAAAAATGAAGTGTGGTGAAATTGAAAACAAATTCACCTCTAGTTTTTTTTAACCCTTGGTGTTAACATAATGGGTTAATAGGCTGTTTTGTAAGTAGTTTCATATGTTACTAAAATTTTCGTTTGGAGGCCATTAAATAACGATTATTGTTCCTGCCAGTAGCTGAGTGCATGGAGTGTCAAACTGCCAATTAAAAGATCGCAAAGTCCATTCGCTTAAACATAATAAATAATATGTGGTAGAATTAAAAATACAATTTTAAATCTAGTGCTCAAAGAAGAAATATATAGTTTTTTGATCTTATTTAGTGGTTCTTGGAGGTAGTTCGGTAAGAAATTACTTCCCAAGTTAAAATAAGGAGAGTTGACTCAACATAATAATACAATCAGTAACAGCTATCGTTTCAATTATTTATCTTTGCACCACACTGTATATATTTAAGTTGACCACACTGTATGCCAGCTGCAGCAGCAACCACATTTATTTTTTATTGATAATATTATTAATAATATGTATTTCATTTTCGTTTCTGTATCTTCGTATCTATAAATTCGTGAGATCTCACAAAACAAAAGTCAATCTGATTTTAAGTTTGTTAAAGAAAAGATATTAACGTATTTATCTAATTCGATGAAAATGGCATCTTCCAAGTGGATCTTTACCATCGCATTGTTCGTTATCGTCGCCGCTGTCTTACCAAATGTTGCTGAGGCCCAAAGAGGTCGACCCGGCCGACCAGGAAGGCCCGGACAAGGAAATCAAGGTGCTGCTGATTGCCCACAAATTTGCCCTGCACTTTACAGTCCCGTGTGTGTCACTCTGACAAATGGCAGTAAAATGTCTTTCTCGAATTCCTGTGAACTAAATGTTGCCGTTTGCACAAAGCGAGTTCGTAAGTATTTAGTGGGGTGTTTATAGGTTTTACGACTTTGCTTTGATTAAATGTTTTCATTTTTTTTTTTTTGCAGCTGGAGTTAGATCTCAACAGCCTGGTGATTGCTGATACTGATACTTGATCAGTTAATTAAGCAATATTTATAGAAAATATTTAAATCATATGCGCATAATTTATTAAAATAAAGAAATTTGATACCGAACTTTTAAGTGGACGTCATTGTGGATTTATGTGATGATTTGATGATTATAGTATTAAACATTAATTTGAAATTTAGTTGGCTTCATTTTCTAGCATTATCAAAAAAAAAAAAAAAAAAAAAAAAAAAAAAAAAAAAAAAAACTAAATATACAAGTTAAATGGAATCAGTCGGTATTGCGAACAGATGCATCCCTCAGCCAATATTCGGTTTTTAAAATATATTTTGACTTGCGTTATAAATGTTCAAACTGTTGACCCTTCATAGGAGCAGTTCCGAAGGAGTTAGCCAATATCTTCCATTTCGTATCTGACATAGGTTTGATAAAAATTATTTAAAAACAAGTAAAAAAACATTAAGTTTGGCCGGGCCAAACTTTTAATATACCCTCCACCTTAGGGTAAATGAAACATTAGAAGAAATGTGGCAAAAAATGCCGAATATCGGGAGGTATCGTTATATGGGGGCTATACCAAAACGTGGACCTAAAATTACAATGAATCGCCACACGAACTGGGACCCATTATGATCTACAACCACAAATTTTCAGGGAAATTCTTGAAAAAATGTGTCAAAAATCATCAAAATACCGAATATTGGGAGGTACCGTTATATGGGGACTATATCAAAACGTGGACCTATACACACAAACCAGGATCCATTATGACCTACAAATACCAATTTTCAGACAAATCCGTGAAAAAACGTGGCATAAATTATCAAAATACCGAATATTGGGAGGTACCGTTGTATGGGGACTATACTAGAACGTGGACTGATATATCTCATTTTCAATACCAACAAAATTTTGACGCTCTACGTCTAATAATGTGGGCTATATATATATATATATATATATATATATATATATATATATATATATATATATATATATATATATATATATATATATATATATATATATATATATATATATATATATATATATATATAAATTATTATAATTATGGCATAAATTATCAAAATACCGAATATTGGGAGGTACCGTTATATGGGGACTATACTAGAACGTGGACCGATATATCTCATTTTCAATACCAACAAAATTTTGACGCTCTACGTCTAATAATGTGGGCTATATATAAATATATATATATATATATATATATATATATATATATATATATATATATATATATATATATATATATATATATATATATATATATAAATTATTATAATTATGGCATAAATTATCAAAATACCGAATATTGGGAGGTACCGTTATATGGGGACTATACTAGAACGTGGACCGATATATCTCATTTTCAATACCAACAAAATTTTGACGCTCTACGTCTAATAATGTGGGCTATATATATATATATATATATATATATATATATATATATATATATATATAGCCCACATTATTAGACGTAGAGCGTCAAAATTTTGTTGGTATTGAAAATGAGATATATCGGTCCACGTTCTAGTATAGTCCCCATATAACGGTACCTCCCAATATTCGGTATTTTGATAATTTATGCCATAATTATAATTATTTATATATACTGTATAATTTATATATACTTTATGGGGTCTACGACGAATATTTAAGGATGTTACAAACGGAATGACAAAGTTAATATACCCAACTTTCCAAGGTGGAGGGTATACAAATTTGACATGTTTAAATCATTTATTTCAATGTTTAAATCATTTAACCACTGTCCACCACTACTGTACATATTCAAATCATGCTCACTGTATGTTAAATATCAACATCACGGACCATCAAATTTTATTCTTTGTTTACAATAACATTAACGCTTTAGATTCGCTTTCCACTTATTGGTAACTATAAATTGTTAGGATTTCTCAGATGTGATGTCAAATAAGTTTTCAGCATTGTAAAGAACAGACACAAACTTCGCTTCAATCTATTCAATCAAAATGGTAACACTCAAGTGGATCTTCGCCATCGCATTGATCGTGATCGCTAGCAATGCAGATGCCCGTAGTCCGCCTAGACCAAGCCCGGGTCAAGTTGATGAAAGTGCTGCTGATTGCCCCCAAATTTGCCCTGCTCTCTACCGTCCCGTCTGTGCCACATTGCCCAATGGCAGTAAAATGTCCTTCTCTAATTCCTGTCAATTGAATGTTGCCGTTTGTTCGAAGCAGATACGTAAGTATATGGTGTGAGGATTATGATAATTTAGTTTAAATAAATGTATTCTTTATTTTACAGCCGCCGTTCGTTCGCAACAGGAGGGAGACTGTTAATTATGCTGCAGATACTTGAAAAATTAAAATAGTAAAGAGTTATTTTTCCAATTGTTAAGTTAATGAGAACAGAATAAAATTTCTGATAAATTAAAATTTGGGTTAAGTTGAGCAAATGGAGCCAGAATTTTGAAATGTTGATATTGGATACTTCGCTGTGTTTTTGATTTGAGGGTGGTTTTGGAAATATTTACTGAAAAATTTGGCAACTTTCAATGAAATAAAATCCGCTAAAAATTATGTTAAAATCTTAAAAATACCGAATGTAGCCGTCATATTACGGCCACAAAACTACGTGGACGTGCATAGGCAAATTTTGTCATAAGCCATTGCAATATTTAAATGCGAAACTAGAAAAAAAATCGCTGAATAATGTAGCTAAAATCATAAAAATATCGATGTGGGCCATTATATATGGGCTATACCAAAACGTGGGCCTGCACACACAATTTTCTGTCACAGGATGTAGTATCCATTACGAACTTTAAATACCAAATTTGAAACAATTCCGGTGAATAAAGTCGCTTAAATCGCCAAAATACCTATTATCGGGAGTTTTCCATTTTCTATACCAGTCCTGCAGGCATAATATACATTTGAGAAAAATTTTATCAACCTACTCCATTTCGTTCGGTAGCTAGACTGATTTCCACAGACGGACGGAAATCGCTAAATCAACACAAAAATGTGTGCTGATCAAGAATATATATACTTTGTGGGGTCTAAAATGTATATTTCGAGGTGTTACAAACGGAATGACAAACTTAATATAGCCTCCCTACTATGGTGGAGGGTATAAAAAGCCAGAAGTTCGCCTTTTGTATTTTAGATTTCGCCTGCAAGTTATTTTCAGCGTTTCGGTAGAATTAAAATATTGGTATTTATTTCACACAAAAGTGTGGTCCATTCTACCCGCTGTCCTAAATGCTAATTTCAAGCAAGATTTCGTCTGATTGTCTTTATATTTGTGACCTTTATAACGGCTGCAAAATCAGGAACATTTTTAGTTGTTGGTCCATTTCATCCCCTAAATATATTGCAGACATCTTGACAGAGGTATTTTTGAGCTCCATAAGTTATCTGGTACCTAGGATCATTGTTGTGGGGTGCATATTACGCATGTGAGGGACTTAAAACTCCAAATCGGATGAAACATATATATCGGAGCAAATTTGGTGAATTTACTTCTTCAAACTTCAGGTCATTTGGACTGATATTGCCCATTTGGTGCACGATTAACTCGAAATCGGTTGAAGATAAATATAGGAGCTATAATAAATGCAATCGTATTATAAATGCAACCCTCAATACATTGACAGACGGACGGACAGAAGGACTGACATACATAAATCTAATCAGAAACTGATTCTATGATTATCTTCAAAATGTCGCCAATTTCTATAGAGTTCGTCCTTGTTTGAAAAATTGTATCTCAATCGCATAATAGATGCAACCTGCAATACATTGACAGACAGACGGACTGACATGCATAAATCGAATCAGAAAGTGATTCTTCTATGGGTCCATCACGCTTCCTTCTCCACGTTACAAATAAATGCACAAAGACATAGTACCCTTCCCACCATGTGGTTCAGGGTATAAAAACACAACACCTACTCTGACATCTTTTAAAAATAGTGATCTACATTCCTTGAAGATTCTACTCGCAAAAGTAAAACTTTTTTTTCCCAAAATTACTTTTTCCCCCTATGGTTCTCAAGAAACATTATATTTGATAGGGTACATTTTTCATCCATACTTTTTTACCCTCAGCCATATGGCTAGAGAGGGTAAACATCATTTGTTACGGCCAAAATGTGCCTTTTCGAAATAACGGTTTTAGACCTTAGGTTTCTTTGGACCAAATCCCTTTCAGGACATTTGGAGTCAATCTTGCGATGTCCGTCTGTCTGTCTGGTTGGTGCGCACGATAACTGTCGAAGGAAGTATCCGATTTAATCCAAACTTGGTACATCGTAAAATTATTGTCAAACTTAGATCGAGTTCGGAGATGGGCAATATAGGTCCACTCCTTCTAGTACCTCCCTCACAAAATGTCAACATTTTCAAAGAAAATAATTTACTGCATAGAAATTAAAATAATAATCCGATTTGGCTCCAACTTAGCAAATCCTAATATTAGGATCAGTGCTAGTTCAGGTGCGAAAATGGACAATATAGGTCCACTCCAACAAGTACCTCTCCCACAAAGGGTAAAAATTTGGAATAATTTTAACTCTTATAAGATGCGAAATAAGCATCTGGTTGTATTCAAATTGCACACATCGCAATATTTTAATTAATGCAAGTTCTGGTGGGAAGATAAGACATATTGGCGCACTCCATCTGGTAACTCCACCCACAAAGGGTCAACATTTTTAATATCCACGAATCTCATAAAACACGAAATTCACATCCAATTCCATTCAGACTTATCACATTTCCATATTTCCATAAACACAAGATCTGTTATAAAGATGGTAGAGATCGGACCATTCCTTCAGGTACCTCCCCCGCAAAGGGTCAAAGTTTTGAATAACCAAAACGACCATAAAATCCGAAATTAGCATCCGGTTCTCTTTAAATTACACACATCACAACATTTTTATTATATCAAGGTCTCGTGTAAAGACCTTGAAGACCACAAAGGGTAAAAATTTTGAGTATCTATGAAGCTCATAAAACACGAAATTTACATCATTTTATCCAGACTTGGTACATCTCAATATTTCCATCCACATAAGAACTGTTATAAAGTATCCATGAAGCTCATAAAACACGAAATTTACAACCGATTTCATCCAGACTTGGTACATCTCAATATTTCCATCTATATAAGATCTGTTATAAAGATGGTAGAGATTTCTTCTAGTACCTCAACATGCCAACCCCCTCTGGTACCTCACCCACAAAGGATCACAATTTCCCACACCTTTATCTGTCATAACTTGCGAAATCTGTCAACGATTCGTTAAAACTTGTTATATTTAAATATTTCTCCTAACCAGAAATCTGATATCGTTCTTTAATCAGGTTTCGTTCTCTAATTTTCGAATAATAGCAACTTAAACTAATTTGCTCATTTCCAATTTATTGGTAGATGTTGCACTTAAATGGTCTTCCTAGATCCGGAACCAATATTTCCCAAAGACCTATAATCTCTCAGAAGTGGCAAAAAATTAACATTTATTATTGGTTTTTGACTGAAACGCATCTATATGAGATACAGACATTTGACTATATTCTTCAACGAAATCAGCGTTAACGAAATAGTCAGAAGTGTGTCTTTCCTGTATTTGTGAATTCTCCAAAGAGTCACTGGAATGGACACTTTCGTATTTAGTCTACAAAAGTTGGCAAACTATTTCACACATTGAATAATTTTGGATGGCCATCCAAAACTGCTTGGCTTTTGCAATGTCCGGTAACCCCCATTCAAATGTGCGTACGGATCGGGCGATAATTACGACCTGCTGACAATTTTGCAGTTTTTTGTTCCATTTAAACCCCTAAATATATGGCGATCACACCAAAATGAGTAAGCTTCTATTCTGACCCTCATCTTATTTCCATGCAAAATTTCGTAAGGATCGGGCCACAAATGCGATCTGAATATGATGTCCTAACTACTTAGTTTTGTTAGCTGTAGAAATATTACCAAATATTTAATTCAAAATGAAAATATGCCAAAAATATGACAAAATTGAAAAAATATGAGAAAATGTTACAAAATCAATATTTTTATGTTTAGAGAGATATTATTATGCAATTTTTTTAGAAATGTTTTCTTTCCTGCCAAGAGGCCATTCTGAATTAATGAGAACTGTCAAAATCAGTTCAGCCGTTCTCGACATATAAGAGATTTCTCAAGCATATCTTCTTTGATAGACATATATATCGCACATATTTTGCTATATATCCGATTTGTTGGATGTTAACATCAATGTAAAGATCAGAAGTAACCTTGTCATGGCTTTGTGATTTCGCCGGGATTTAAAATATTGGCGGAATACCCAAATTGGTAGGCTTCTTCCCCGCCCTAAACTCTAGCTACATGCGAAATTCCGAGTCGATTGGTCTATAATTGCGACCTGTATAGCTACTGCAAAATCCGACATTTTTTCAGTATTTGGTCCATTTCAACCCCTAAACATTTGACGATCATCTCCAAAAGATATATGCTTCTATTTTGACCCTAACCCCACCTTCGTGCAACATTTCGTAAGGATAGGGCAATAATTGCGACCTGTAGCGTAATTACAAATTAACATGGACAGACGGACATACATAGCTAGATCGACTCAGCTCGGCGAGCTAGGAAGATCCATGTATACTTTCCTATATTGGAAACCAATATTTCGAGGTGTTACATAAATTCTGGCCCAATCAAACTTATAATACCCCCAACACATAGTGTTGTAGGGTATAAAATTTTTCACCTATCACATATAAAGTATAGGAAGTAGTCGATGTAGTCCAAATCTGGCGCGTTGTAATATTTATATCAGTCTTAGATCAGATACGAATTAGTCAATATTGGCCAAGTACTTCGAAATCTCCCCCAATAAAGGGTTAACAGTTGTCGTCGGCAAAATCTACTAATATTATTTTACTTGTAACTGCTTTGTTAGTTAGTTCATATGGCATTTCAAAACACACATTTCGATCCCCCTTGGGAGTCAATAATAGATTATTTCCAATGATAATAAACCGGTTCAAAACCGAAGACATAAAACGACTACTGTTTGCATACACAATGTAAATTCGATGCATAGTATCATATTTTCTACAAACATAATGCTACTAAGATTATCGCATAATTTAAATGTCGATAACTTAAACGTATTTAAATTGAGTTTTGGCAAACACATCTCAAAGACCAGAAAACAAAGTAGAGATAAAGTCACACACAAAATGTAAATAACTGTTCAGATGTGGGCAATACAAGTTAAATACTGAGAGAGATCATCTCTGTTTACATGCATTCACAGTTGAGAGTTAAAATTTTACCCAACACCGTAATGATGAAGTTTAGAATTTAAAACAAAAGTTGCTGGTGATTTCCCATTTCCATTCAGTTGTTGTTAAACCACTCAATTGATCGGCTGTTATTTGTGAGGGTGTTTACAAAAATGTTTTCATTAAAATTAATAATGTCATTGTTAGCCGTATCATTTGTGGCTAAGAAATTTCCTCCACATCGGTTCCGGATCCATGCCTAGCCCAACGTAGATGTTCCACAACCGAAGAAATCGTTTATGCCGTCGATACTCAGCAATGCTATTTGTTCCGAAACCTTTGTCTTTATGAGAACGACTACTGCCAGCGAAGGGAAAAGAAAGAAGAAGGTATGAATGTCCTGAAAACATATTTGACATTTTTGTGACAACGAATGATTTTTTTCTTTGTAGAATTGAAAATTGTTTCAAAAGAGGCGTGTCTCGCAAAATGCCGAGATTTTTGTACTGAAGAATATTTCCCGTTATGCGCGGAACACAATGGCACATTTGAAACGTTTACCAATAAGTGTGAATTACACAGAAATAGCTGTCAGAAGAATAAATGTAAGTTGCCTATAACTTGATAACTTACAAAATGTTGGTTCTCTTTTTAAATTAAAAATAAAAAAATTAAATTTTTAATTTTATATATTAATTTGTATTTCCTTTTAGCCTACATTTTCAACCACTATGGAGCCTGTGAAGCTTAAGGGAGATTCAACTCAAAATGCAACTGTTACCTCAAAATTGTATTGGTTTGTTAATTTGAAATAAAATTGTCGTATAAAAATCTTTAACTAGTAATTAATAATTGATCTTATTTGTTCTGCTTATAAATCAAGAACCGCTGGGCCGATTTTTACAATTCCCATCAATTCGGAATGGTCTTTTGCCAGAAAAGCAGAAAATCTAAGAAAATCACGGAAATATATACCAATAAAAAGGTGAATATTTTTTGTTCCATTTTTTTTTCAATTCTTGTCATGTTTTTTATCGCATGCGATTTTTTTCAATTTGACTTACAATTTTGAATTGAAATGTTTGAAATGTTTACACCCTTCAACACTACGTTTTGAGGGTATTTTATGCATGTCGCAATTATTGTCCGATTCTCACGAAATTTGGCATGGGGTAGGGTTAGGGTCAGAATAAAAGCATATTGTTCTTAAGAAGTACATTTAAAGGTGCAAATGGACTAAAAATTTTATTTTTTTTATATTTTGTTGTTGCTCAATAGGCCACAATTCAAAGAATCGACACTGAATTTCGCATCAGAAGAGAGTTAAGGACAGGGAAGAATTCTAGCATTTTGGATGACCATTGGATTACATTTAGCTGTAAAATGGAACACTACTATCACAACTTTTGTCAAATTCTCCGGGCCAAAAAACTAAGGATAACCTCTGGGTGGCGCTCTTTGACATTATTTCAAAAACGAAATCTTCCAAAACGGCTTTGGATATAAGGAGACTTAGAACATATAGTAGTGTTGTAGGGTATCACATGGTCGGCCCCGCACGTCTATAGCATTTGCTTACTTGTTTTTACATGTTTTTTAAATTTTATTCAATGAACGCAAAAAATGTCGGAAATAGCATCAAATTTCAGAATAAGTTTAGATTTGTTCGAATTGGTTACTTTTGGCACGAATTATGTCCGTCACACGCTGCCCGAATGTTGCTCTGCGGTATTTTGGCCCATTCCCAGCGAAGCGCTTGCTTGAAGTGATCGACACAGACACAATAGTCCAACGGATTGCTATCCGGAGATTTTCGTGGTCATTGTGCGCTGGAAATGAAGCGAGGAACCTCATTTTGTAACCATTCTTGGGTGGCGCGTGCTGAGTGCGATGGTGCTGAGTTCTGTTGGAATGTCCAAGGTCTGAGTTCTAAATGTTTGCTTGCCCAAGGCTTTAATACACCTCCCAGAATATTTCCGCGATAATATTCGATAAATACCAGCGGAGAGCTATCATCGACTGTTATGGCGGCACACACCATCACGTCGGCGCTTAAGTTCTGGTGGCCAACCGAAGGTGCACATTTTCAGCTGACCTCTTTGGCAAGTAAACACGATCATTGGCAAGTAAACACGATCATTTACAAACTGCTGAACAACGAATGTTTTCTCATCGGAGATAAGCAAATTCTGTCAAGCGAATCAACTCTTTAGCTCTTTGGAGTCTATTTTCTTTCTGCAGTGTAAGTTCTTGCACTTCTTGGAATTTAACCTATATTTTTCACCCAAATTGCATGTGCTTTAAAATGTTCGGTTCCTAGAAAATAACTTTACTATGGCACGTTAGGGTTTAGCTCTATTTAATCCTACCGCCCGACATTTTATTTTTTAGAATTAAACCACATTTTCTTCTTATAAATGACTAGTACTTGGCACGTCTCCTTCCTAGAGGATAGAAAGCTTTCTGGCAAAGATCTAAAAGTATAGACTTATTTTTCGGTATAGCCTCAAAATAATGCATATTGATGGTTTTAATGGACATTTGCTGTCGAAATTCGGGAAAGATGAAATTTTTCGTTTTAGAGGGAAAAGTTGTAAGGTATTCGGCACTTTAAGAATTTTAACCAAATCTCAATCGTTTTAGTCACTATTGCCGACTCATTAGTTATGTTGAAAATCAGTAAAAATTCTATCTTTTCAAAATTAACCTCGCAATGTGATCAAGAATACTACAAGATGGGTCTAGGGTAAATATTCACATTCACAGTGCTACAAACTTTTGAGCCGAATCTAACTTGTACTACTCTAGCCACGTAGTGGTATAATTACAACTGAACTAGCATTGTTGCTTTTAATATACTAATACCTTCCTCATTTGTTTAAAAGCTTACTCATATTTCACACTTATCACACGCTTCGCTCATAGCTTAGCTATGGCAGAACTAAATATACTAACGTATGTTTGAGGTAATATTGGTTAAAAAAATCCCCCTCGTTTTCATGATTGTTTATAGAATTATTAATTATTATTCACTTTGTTAAATACATATTCAGTTGTTGTCCGACTTTCAACAAAAGCACGTCTCGTTGTTAAATATTTAAACATGAATTCAAAGCAACTGTTAATTTCATTATGTTTGTGTTTATTCGTAACACTGATGATGACGGCTGCGACAGCTTTAGCAGATAATTGTTCCATAACCCGTAAATGTTCTACGTTCGAAGAAACCGTTTATGCTGTCGATAAGCATCGCTGCTATTTGTTTCGAAATCCCTGCATATTTAGTCTGGAGCAGTGTCGTCGTAAGGAAAGGAAGCAAAAAGGTAAATTATAACCAGTAAAGAAAGTCTTAAAGTCGGACGGGGCCGAATTTATGATACCCTACACCACTTTGCTAATTTAGTAGAGCTCCGCATAACAATTAAAAGTTTTTATGGGAGAATTCAATCATACTCGCTATGATTATAATTATAATTTAAAGTTTAAAGGACTAAATATGACGAAGCATTTGTATCTTTTAAATTCGGACTTGTATTGACCATTTGGTGCACAATTAATTTGAAATCGGATAAAGATATATATGGTAGCTATATCCAAATCGGAACCGATCTCGATAAAATTTGGAAAAGATACTTCTGAGCTGTATTTGATATATTTCCCTGAATATCGTTGTTACGGAGTGCATATTACGGCTGCGGAGGACTAAAATAACAAATCGGATGAACAATATATATTGGAGCTATAGCTATATCTGAACCGATTTCGATCAAATTTGGCATACTTATTTTCAGGCCTAATTTGGGTGTATATGCAAAATTCCATACTATTCGGGCTGATATTACACGTTTGGTGCACAATAAAAAGCAAATCGGACGAAGAGATATATGGGAGCTATATCTAAATTTTAACCAATTATCTTCAATTTCAATAGGGTTCGTCCTTGGGCCAAACAAATGATTTGTGCAAAATTTCATCTGGATCGGGCAATAAATGCGAACTGTACTTTGTTTACAAAAATACATGGACAGACGGACGGACGGACATGCATAAATCGACTCAGAATGTGATTCTATGCAGATCACCAAAAAGAACTATGGGTCTATCTCGTTTCCTTTTGCCTGTTACAAACAAATGCACAAAGACATAATACCCTGACCACCTTGTGGTGTAGGGTATAAAAAGATAGTAAAAAACACGTAAGCAAAGGCTATAGTCGTGCGGGGCCCACCATGTGATACCCTACAACACTACAATATGTTAGAAGCCCCCTTATGTCGACATCCATTTTGGAAGATTTCGTATTTGACATTATGTCACAGAGCACTGCCCAGATATTATCCTTAGCTTTTCGACCAGAGACATTGAGCAATACTTACGCACTCCGTCGTGCTGTTAGTTGTTGTGGTCCATTTTACGGCTAAATATAATCCAATGGTCACCCAAAATGCCAGAATTCTTCCCTGTGCTTGATTCTCTTCTCAGGCGTGTCGATTGGCTTCAATTGTGTGACCGGGAAAATTATTCTATTTTTGATTCATTTAAACCGCAAAATAGTTTGCGATCGTCTCCAAAAAGCAAGACGCCCCTCTGTATCTCTAAATTTAGACTCATCTATATGATTTGCTTGTCTACGATATTTGGCAATATTCGTCAACGAAATCAACATAAAAAAGCCAGAAGTTCGCCTATTGTGTCGGTGGAATGCTCCGTTCTACCCGCTGTCCTAAACTCTAATTTCATGTCCTTTAGTTTCTATTTGTGACCTTTATAACGACTGCAAAATCAGGAACATTTTTAATTGTTGGTCCATTTCAACCCCTAAATATATTGCGGACATCTTTAAAAAAATAACAACAGGCCTTGCCCTGCTCAGCCTTACCCTCTCCTTACGAACATTTTTGTGAGGATCGGACGACAATTGCAATCTGCATATAATAACCCCAACCTGTGTTGTAAGGTAAAAAAAATTACTTACTTCAAATCGCATGCGATAAAAAAATATGAGAAATAAAACATATATCACAAAATACTACAAAATCTATATTAATATCATTATTGGCTTCTTTTTATGCGATTTTTTTTAGATTTTATTCGATTATGTCAAGAGGACATTCTGAATTCACAAAATTTGTTAAAATTTGGTCCAACCATTTGTGAGATTTAAGCATTCTAGCTAACATCCCTTTCCTATGTATACATTTCGCTACACACATCCGATATATTTGCTATCGTAACGGTCAGAATTGACTTTTTGTCTATTTGTGATTTCGCCGGAATTAAAAATATTTACAGTTTAAGGGAAAATTTAACACAAATGTTATTGTCTCTTTCACCCACTAAATATTTACCGATGACCATCCAAATTGGAAGGCTTCTGCCCAGCCCTAAGCTATAGCCCCATGCTAACTTCCGCATCGATTGGTCTATAATTGTGACCTGCAGAGTACCTGCAAAAGCAGGATTTTTTTCTGTTTTTGGTCCATTTCAACCCCAAAATATTATGCGATCATCTCCAAATTCAAACCATACAATAATTGCGACTTGTAGTGTGATTACAAATTAACATGGAAAGACGGACGGATGGGCATACATACAAAGCTAGATCGGCTCAGCGAGATATGAAGATTTATATATAGTTTCCTATGTCGGAGACCAGTATTTCGTGGTGTTACATAATTGTTGGCCCTATCAAACTTATAAATCCGCTTTTTCGTTTTAGAACTGAGTGTAGTTTCTAAGGAGGAGTGCCTCAAGAAATGTAGCGATATGTGTACTGAGGAATATGCTCCCGTTTGCGGTGAATTTAATGGATCCTTGAAAACATTCCCCAATAAATGTGATTTCTACCGATATAGTTGCAAAAATAATATGTGTAAGTATGCATATATATATGAAATTAATTTCGATTTATGTAATTTTTTTTTTAATTACAGCTTATATGTTCGTTGATAACGGCGCCTGTAGAGCATAGGAATGTCCAAGAGCAAAAATGCTGCAAGATTATTTGAAATCCATTGATTATTATATTTATTTATTAAAACAAAAAATATTGTGCCTAAATTAAAAAAATGCATATTGAAATTGCAACCAATGTCTCCTTTCGACTTAATTGCTTAGTTATCTCCTCGCTTACACGTTTGTACATACATTGGTACAAAGGTGGAAAGAGTTTGTGTACATGTTAATGGTCCGCATTTGTCGAATTATTGGTCGGTTGGTATATATAACATTTTTTTGCATTATTTTATACGAAATTGAACATGTCGGAGTACGTAAGTATTGGGAAAATGCCCCTGGTCAAAAAGCTACGGGAAACATCTGGGCAGTGCTCTATCACATAATTAAAAAACAATATCTTCTAAAATGGATTCGAACATAAGAGGAATATTTAAGGAGTTATGGTCATTTTAAAATATTAAGGAATTCATGCATTAAAAAGTGATCACACATAATAGCTAAAAACGCCGAAAACACAAAATTTAAGGAGTTATGGCCATTTTAAAATATTTAAGAATTCATGCCTTAAGACGTGATCACAAATAATAGCTAAAAACGCCGAAAACTAAATATTTAAGGAGTTATGGCCATTTTAAAATATTAAGAAATTCATGCCTTAAAAAGTGATCACAAATAATAGCTAAAAACGCCGAAAACTCAATATTTAAGGAGTTATGGCCATTTTAAAATATTAAGAAATTCATGCCTTAAAAAGTGATCACAAATAATAGCTAAAAACTCCGAAAACTCAATATTTAAGGAGTTATGGTCATTTTGAAATATTAAGAAATTCATGCCTTAAAAAGTGATCACAAATAATAGTTAGAAACGCCGAAAACTCAATATTTAAGGAGTTATGGCCATTTTAAAATATTAAGAAATTCATGCCTAAAAAATTGATCACAAATAATACCTAAAAACGCCGAAAACTCAATATTTAAGGAGTTATGGCCATTTTAAAATATTTAAGAATTCATGCCTTAAGAAGTGATCACAGATAATAGCTAAAAACGCCGAAAACTCAATATTTAAGGATTTATGGCCATTTTAAAATATTAAGAAATTCATGCCTTAAAAAGTGATCACAAATAATAGCTAAAAACGCCGAAAACTCAATATTTAAGGAGTTATGGCCATTTTAAAATATTAAGAAATTCATGCCTTAAAAAGTGATCACAAATAATAGCTAAAAACGCCGAAAACTCAATATTTAAGGAGTTATGGCCATTTTAAAATATTAAGAAATTCATACCTTAAAAAGTGATCACAAATAATAGCTAAAAACGCCGAAAACTCAATATTTAAGGAGTTATGGCCATTTTAAAATATTAAGAAATTCATGCCTTAAAAAGTGATCACAAATAATAGCTAAATACGCCGAAAACTCAATATTTAAGGAGTTATGGCCATTTTAAAATATTAAGAAATTCATGCCTTAAAAAGTGATCACAAATAATAGCTAAAAACGCCGAAAACTCTATATTTAAGGAGTTATGGCCATTTTAAAATATTAAGAAATTCATGCCATAAAAAGTGATCACAAATAATAGCTAAAAACGCCGAAAACTCAATATTTAAGGAGTTATGGCCATTTTAAAATATTAAGAAATTCATGTCTTAAAAAGTGATCACAAATAATAGCTGAAAACCCCGAAAACTCAATATTTAAGGAGTTATGGCAATTTTAAAATATTAAGAAATTCATGCCTTAAAAAGTGATCACAAATAATAGCTAAAAACGCCGAAAACTCAACATTTAAGGAGTTATGGCCATTTTAAAATATTAAGAAATTCATGCCTTAAAAAGTGATCACAAATAATAGCTAAAAACGCCGAAAACTCAATATTTAAGGAGTTATGGCCATTTTAAAATGTTAAGAAATTCATACCTAAAAAAGTGATCACAAATAATAGCTAAAAACGCCGAAAACTCAATATTTAAGGAGTTATGGCCATTTTAAAATATTAAGAAATTCATGCCTTAAAAAGTGATCACAAATAATAGCTAAAAACGCCGAAAACTCAATATTTAAGGAGTTATGGCCATTTTAAAATATTAAGAAATTCATACCTTAAAAAGTGATCACAAATAATAGCTAAAAACGCCGAAAATCCAATTTTTAAGGAGTTATGGCCATTTTAAAATATTAAGAAATTCATGCCTTAAAAAGTGATCACAAATAATAGCTAAATACGTCGAAAACTCAATATTTAAGGAGTTATGGCCATTTTAAAATATTAAGAAATTCATGCCTTAAAAAGTGATCACAAATAATAGCTAAAAACGCCGAAAATCCAATATTTAAGGAGTTATGGCCATTTTAAAATATTAAGAAATTCATGCCTTAAAAAGTTATCACAAATAATAGCTGAAATCCCCGAAAACTCAATATTTAAGGAGTTATGGCAATTTTAAAATATTAAGAAATTCATGCCTTAAAAAGTGATCACAAATAATAGCTAAAAACGCCGAAAACTCAACGTTTAAGGAGTTATGGCCATTTTAAAATATTAAGAATACCTTAAAAAGTGATCACAAATAATAGCTAAAAACCCCGAAAACTCAATATTTAAGGAGTTATGGCCATTTTAAAATATTAAGAAATTCATGCCTTAAAAAGTGATCACAAATAATAGCTAAAAACGCCGAAAACTCAATATTTAAGGAGTTATGGCAATTTTAAAATATTAAGAAATTCATGCCTTAAAAAGTGATCACAAATAATAACTAAAAACGCCGAAAACTCAACGTTTAAGGAGTTATGGCCATTTTAAAATATTAAGAAATTCATGCCTTAAAAAGTGATCACAAATAATAGCTAAAAACGCCGAAAACTCAATATTTAAGGAGTTATGGCCATTTTAAAATATTAAGAAATTCATACCTAAAAAAGTGATCACAAATAATAGCTAAAAACGCCGAAAACTCAATATTTAAGAGTTATGGCCATTTTAAAATATTAAGAAATTCATGCCTTAAAAAGTGATCACAAATAATAGCTAAAAACGCCGAAAACTCAATATTTAAGGAGTTATGGCCATTTTAAAATATTAAGAATACCTTAAAAAGTGATCACAAATAATAGCTAAAAACCCCGAAAACTCAATATTTAAGGAGTTATGGCCATTTTAAAATATTAAGAAATTCATACCTTAAAAAGTGATCACAAATAATAGCAAAAAACGCCGAAAATCCAATATTTAAGGAGTTATGGCCATTTTAAAATATTAAGAAATTCATGCCTTAAAAAGTGATCACAAATAATAGCTAAATACGCCGAAAACTCAATATTTAAGGAGTTATGGCCATTTTAAAATATTAAGAAATTCATGCCTTAAAAAGTGATCACAAATAATAGCTAAAAACGCCGAAAACTCTATATTTAAGGAGTTATGGCCATTTTAAAATATTAAGAAATTCATGCCTTAAAAAGTGATCACAAATAATAGCTAAAAACGCCGAAAACTCAATACTTAAGGAGTTACGGCCATTTTAAAATATTAAGAAATTCATGTCTTAAAAAGTGATCACAAATAATAGCTAAAAACCCCGAAAACTCAATATTTAAGGAGTTATGACCATTTTAAAATATTAAGAAATTCATGCCTTAAAAAGTGATCACAAATAATAGCTAAAAACGCCGAAAACTCAATATTTAAGGAATTATGGCCATTTTAAAATATTAAGAAATTCATGCCTTAAAAAGTGATCACAAATAATAGCTAAAAACACCGAAAACTCAATATTTAAGGAGTTATGGCCATTTTAAAATATTAAGAAATTCATAGCTAAAAAAGTGATAACAAATAATAGCTAAAAACGCCGAAAACTCAATATTTAAGGAGTTATGGCCATTTTAAAAATTTTAAGAAATTCATCTCTTAAAAAGTGATCACAAATAATAGCTAAAAACCCCGAAAACTCAATATTTAAGGAGTTATGGCCATTTTAAAATATTAAGAAATTCATGCCTTAAAAAGTGATCACAAATAATAGCTAAAAACGCCGAAAATCCAATATTTAAGGAGTTATGGCCATTTTAAAATATTAAGAAATTTATACCTTAAAAAGTGATCACAAATAATAGCTAAAAATGCCGAAAACTCAATATTTAAGAAGTTATGGCCATTTTAAAATATTAAGAAATTCATGCCTTAAAAAGTGATCACAAATAATAGCTAAAAACACCGAAAACTCAATATTTAAGGAGTTATGGCCATTTTAAAATATTAAGAAATTCATACCTAAAAAAGTGATCACAAATAATAGCTAAAAACGCCGACAACTCAATATTTAAGGAGTTATGGCCATTTTAAAATTTTAAGAAATTCATTTCTTAAAAAGTGATCACAAATAATAGCTAAAAACGCCGAAAACTCAATATTTAAGGAGTTATGGCAATTTTAAAATATTAAGAAATTCATGCCTTAAAAAGTGATCACAAATAATAGCTAAAAACGCCGAAAATCCAATATTTAAGGAGTTATGGATATTTTAAAATATTAAGAAATTCATGCCTTAAAAAGTGATCACAAATAATAGCTAAAAATGCTGAAAACTCAATATTTAAGGAGTTATTGCCATTTTAAAATTGTAAGAAATTCATCTCTTAAAAAGTGATCACAAATAATAACTAAAAACCCCGAAAACTCAATATTTAAGGAGTTATGGCAATTTAAAATATTAAGAAATTCATGCCTTAAAAAGTGATCACAAATAATAGCTAAAAACGCCGAAAATCCAATATTTAAGGAGTTATGGGCATTTTAAAATATTAAGAAATTCATACCTTAAAAAGTGATCACAAATAATAGCTAAAAACGCCGAAAACTCAATATTTAAGGAGTTATGGCCGTTTTAAAATATTAAGAAATTCATACTTTAAAAAGTGATCACAAATAATAGCTAAAAACGCCGAAAACTCAATATTTAAGGAGTTATGGCTATTTTAAAATATTAAGAAATTCATACCTTAAAAAGTGATCACAAATAATAGCTAAAAACGCCGAAAACTCTATATTTAAGGAGTTATGGCAATTTTAAAATATTAAGAAATTCATGCCTTAAAAAGTGATCACAAATAATAGCTAAAA